TTATTTTAATGTATATAATACATTTATGAGGTATCTCATAAACATTTCGAAGATCGATTTTTTTTGAGCCACCCTAATGTAGATCATTATTGATGAAAATGTAATAAATAACATGTAATAAAGTACGATTAATAAAGAAATAATAGTGACGTCGGGGATCACTTCTTGCCTTTGAACCACGATCAAATTTAATATAAAAAGCCAAAAATAAAGAGCATTCTGAGACAGATGCAATCAGATAATATACAGAGGCACTCACTAAGCTCGATCATTCCACACTACGAAATATATGCAAGAAGTGATCCGCCGTCAACACAGTTATATTTGTTCAAAGAAAAATACAACATCTATTTATTTAAGAGTATAGCAGAAAATATCAAGGTAGGAATTTAATAAATTCACCAAAATATAAATAAGGTTTAGAATTAAATTTTATGAGTACATAGATTAAGTAGGCATACAGGAAAATCAAGTGATTATCAATAATAATAAATATACCAAGTAAATTTAATAAATCGATAATGTTTGTACAGAGTTACTTGGCAGAGTTATATCGTTGTTACGTGTCTATTTCAGGAGTTAGGTTGGAGGTTCATATGTATACCACCAAACCACTCTGGGTAGACACACGAGATGACTCAATCCCATCTATCATCGATAACCGTCAAAACTCGTGGCATTATTGATATTTAAAAATTGACAATTAATTATAATGAATCCCATAATAATAAATTAAATATCACTTTATTTTCTATCATCTTCTATCTTTCTTACAGACCCTCGTACTCATACCACGAGTAATAATATTATTAATACAATAAAGTAGTGGATCAAATAAGAACCCAAATCCCGTCATATTTAACTTATTTCTTTTAAGCTGTCAAAGTGCTCCCTAAATTAATAACCCTTTTTATATCATTAATACAATAAATTATATATTATGAATGTGTTAAAACTTTCATGGATTGTTTTGTTGCTTGAAGTGCTTGAGGATATATCCATGTTTACAGTTGAGTCCAAAACGTCAGAACTCAAGCACTTCAAGAAATTATATATTATTTTCTTTTTTTGATTCACCACAATACATGCATACATATTTTTAAAAAAGTTATAACATTATAAAGTTTAAAATGTAAAATATAAAATCGAAAATTTTATTACAAAAATAGCATTTGGTAACTATTTTCAACGTGAAGACAAAATAAAGTCCTAATTTTTTTTTCCATAATAAAATGTATTACATTAGCTTTAATTTAGTATATATAAAAGTGTCAGTATTTCAAAAACATTTTCAAATTTAAGTTGAAAAAGTTATTACAATTTATCCAACACTCGCGAAAATATATAACAATATTAACAAAAAAATAACAACGGTTAGATCATAACCAACACGACGTTTCAAATCTTAGGTAAAATTTAAAAAATCCACCGACGTTTGACAGTGGTCCGGTGAAGACTTTTCAGCCAGCCTTTAGAGCTGAGGTTAACGAAATTGTGAAACAGTATCGGAAATGATCAAGAATACTTTCAACAAATGATTTATCATAAGGTGACAATGTAGGTGATGAGCAGTGCAAATTTACTTTTTTAGTTAAACGTTTTTTGTATTTTTTAGTTTTAAATTAATTATTATATCATTATGTTATATTATGTAATTATGATATTATTATGTTATAGTGCAATTAGACCATAATAGGATGTGAACAGATGAAAAGTATTCATATTATATTAATTAAGATATTATATTATAATAATAATAATTATTCATAAAGACTGATGATTCAAGTTACACGAGACACAACTAGACGATAACAGTATGTAACATGCTCTTTATATATATATATATATATAAACAATTAAGTATAAAAATATAATATATTCAATAATAAGAAATAATAACAATTTAAAATAAATAATTAAATGATAGTACAAATATTACAAGTGTAATATAGGTCATTATTTTGTAAAGCTGGAAGTAAAACATTTTTGTAATGTTTTGATTAATTGTAATTTCCTGAATTATTGTTACTAGACCAGGAAGTTAATATTTATAAATATTTTTTGATTCTATTACTAATGTCGTATTCGTAAAAAGAAGAACAACAAAATATTTTAGTATATAAGACGAAATGGAATGAATTGTAGGGAGGAGAGAGATAACCACGGGAGCTTCGAAGGTAATCTCTTTTTGAGTGATACTTTTATGAAAATAAGTTTTATTCTTAAAATTGTATTAGTACACTGTTTGAAGTGTACTTTGTTTTGTACCTTTTATATTGTTTAAATATATCTTTTATAAATACATTTGTGTGATTATTGAACTTTTATTACTATAAGTTAGAACAAATAAGGATGTTTCGTATTTAGGTACAACACAAGTATGTCCTAGGTTTTACAATTTTTCTACCATACCTATTAATCTCTATTCATACCTATTAGGCTCTCTATTCACTGTAGGAGTATTGAGATCATTATTAATCATATTATTTTCTTTATTAGCATTAACACTATTATTTAATAAATAATCATTGCGTATAATTTTATATCATGTTATTGAATTATATATACCAAAGTCATTTATTTTCAAATCACGTTACCCGTATTGATTTAGTAAAAATTTAAAAAATTTAATTGAAGATAAAAAGCATGCCCATAACATTTATAAAAATTCAAAATTACCTACTGATTTTACTATCTTTTCAAAATTGCGTTCTAAATGTAATAAATCAAGAGAAAGAGATTTCTTAAACTTCATAAATAATTCTCAAAATTCTATTAAAACAAATTCGAAAGAATTTCGGAAGTTTTTTAAACAGTAAAAACTAAATCACGATTTACTTAATTTTATGTGTTTAGATGATATATCTGTTAATAACGGTCAAGATATCATTAATTTATTTGGTAAATACTTTTCCAGTGCATACACATCTCAAAATAATCTTTCTCCTAACATTTTAAACTGTCTTCAACTATTGTCTAGCCTAAATCAAATTGAAATTAGTTTATCTGATATATTTAATGAATTAAATTCATTAAATGGTAGTCCTGGACCTGATGGTATAGATGTTTTATTTTTAAAAAATTGTTTATTTGTTCTTTCACCTATTTTACTACTTTTATTTAATAGTTCATAAAAATGTAGTGTATTTCCGGATATTTTTAAATTATTTTTTATCAATCCCATATTTAAGAAAGGTAACCGAGAAAAAATTAATAACTATAGACCTAATGTTAATCCATTTTCTTTCAATACATTTTGCTTTATTTGTTGCCATTTATTATGCAGACCGAAAATTAACACATCTTTAATTAGACTTTTGCGAAGACTATCAAATTCACATGACATGATTCTGTTTTTTAAATCAACGACATATTCATTAGTACTTTCATCGGCTGATTGTAAGCCAGTAAAAAATTTATGTCGCTCAATGGTGCCATTCGTTTTAGGGATGAAATAATTAGAGAGTAAAGTTATTACTTCTTCTAACTTTGCTTTATTAATATCAATATTAAATGAATTCAATATTTTAAGTGACTGTTTTCCAATAAAGTGTAAAAAAATAAATACTTTTCTCTTATTACTTAGTGGATCATAGCCAGTAGCTGACAAATATATATTAAAATCTTGTATCCATTCGGACCAATTTAATGATAAATTACCATCCAAAAATAGTGGCTGAATATTCCCAGTTAAACCGGTAGATATTTATTTTTTTTCTTCTTCTAAAGTGATTTTACGACTTTTTGACATTATTGTATGACTCTTACCAAAAGATTTTAAGTTCAATATCACCTGACACCATATTATGTTATGATATACAATTATTATACAATTAGACCATAATAGGATGTAAACAGATGAAAAGTATTCATATTATATTAATTAAGATATTATATTACAATAATAATTTATGAAGACTGACAAAACAAGTTACATGAGGCACAACTAGACGATAACAAAGATGATAACAGTATGACCAATCCACCCTATTGGTCCTTATCTACATAAGTAATTTTTATTAAATTCAATCAGGACGCTCCCTGAAATTGTTCTATAGGTTAAAAAAATACATTTAGTGAAGTTTTGTGATTGTCCAATGATTTTTCCCGTGCCGTAGAAGGGTTTAAATTTAATAAATAGGAGTAAAAATTAGTTTTTTACGTATAACATGTTAAATTTTACTTAAATCAAAAAAATTTACTGAATAAAATTAGTTTAAAAATGTATTTCCTACAAGATATATTATATTACTTTTTACTCTATATTGCATATTTAATTGAATAATCAATAAAACACATAAATACAAATACAAATATGTATATTCTACAGCGCAAAAGTGGTTTAAAAATCAATCATTAACATTATGATTTTAATCTGGATTGTCAATTTTTTTACATTAAGCTGTTTGTATGTAATGTGGACTTTGTTCTGTCGTCATACACCGAACTAAAGAATACATTGAAATCGTTGCGATTATTAGGATAACACTATTTTAATGTTATTGTGATATCTCTTATACAATTTTATTGCAATTCCACTTCTAGTTTTAGTTTTAAATCTGTTAGAGTTTTTTTTATTTTGTAATTTTTTTAATAATGAACAACAGATCAAGGGACAAAATTTATTTAATTAATTATGGTGAAAATCAAATTGTCGGATCAAAGTTTCCATCAAATATTCAAGTATTAAGGGTTATTATTTACAATATGAGGAAAGTAAAATTATACTTGCGAACCAGTTCTCATTTGGTTATTAAAGAAGTTGAAGTATTCTGGGAAAAAGCAAGAATACCAGTCAGAAAATTTCAATGAAGCATCGACAAATTGGAATCATTGTATTCAGAATAGAGAAATTTGAACAAATGCTCTAAAAGGACATCATTGAACCACGAAAATAAGGAAAAGGATTTCATTGGAAAATTTAACAAATTGTTCAACATTTCACATGCAAATGCCATGGAAATGATGATTATTGAAGATAAATTATTTTTGATGTGTAAACGAGATAAGGAAAGAAAAGGTTGCATGGCTAGTTCAGATAATAACTTATACTTACAAAAAAAACATGATCTAAAACAAAAAAGTTTGAAAGAGCAAAGAGATTTGAAACTTCAAAAATCTCAATTTACATCCAGTATTTTATAATTAATATTTCATTAGTTCATAAATTAAATAACAACAAGTTTTTTTTTAGACGAAGTAGCTATTAAGACAGTAGTACAAGTAATATAAGTAGTACAGAAGAAGCCAACGT